GACTAACGGTATTGTAATACACACCTACCGTTATTTTTATACGATGACCACGAATTACTGGTCATTTTTCAACGCCCCATACCCTTAGCTCCCGAGAGACGCCATCAAACGTGCGAATTCGAGCGTCCATATCCATGCTAAATAGTAGGTATGGAAGCGAGCCCAGGCACGACGCCCATGCTAAGTAGCAGGTATCGGCGTTCATTCAGGAGCCGGATTCCTCACCTGGCCAGTTTGATGGGTGTTCTCGTCTGAGCAGAGGCGTAACCAGCTGACCTGGTGACCTGACACAGCTGGTGAGCCACGCATTGGTCGGGGGCGGTCAGAGCGATCAGCATCTGTCGTGCGGCTGAATTCAGCGCTGTGTAATCGACACCTGTGAGAAGACATAAGCAAATGACGTGTTAAAAACATGATGGAGCGGCGAGAGCACCTGGTGACACGCAAGAAGCGGAAGCAGGTGTTTTCTAAGGGATGGATGCGCTAGGTAAATATGTATATCTTTAAAGGTTGATGCAGATGATGGAATTACAATTAACCAAAAGTTACTTTGCTTGTGATGACACTGCTACATGAGCAAATGTTTTATTTATTTGTAAAAAAAGATTAGGATTTCAAAGTGCTCTTAAACTGCTGTATTGGCCATTCAATACCGTTAAATGCCATTCAATAAAAAATTTAAAGAAGGCTAATTTGAATTGTCATTTGAAATCTCATAGTGTGATACAGAGTCATATTGGGTGCCAATTTTATTCGCTTTGCTGGTTCTAAGTAGCAGTTTACAGGCGAACCTGGCGAGACAAACATTCAGGAAACCGGTAATACCATTACCGTAAACCGGGGTGAGTTGATATGGGGTGGTGAGTTGATATAAATTGCTAGAAAAATGTTAAAATGTGTGCTGCTCATCCATTTGTAAACCAATTTTCAGTTTTATTTTTCTGTGAAGTGAAGCAACCTATAAGCGATGCATATAGCTGAGAAAGGCATGCATGTGGTGCAGTGACTTCTCAACACATTACTTTTTTCAAAGTCCTTTTTTTCTTCTGATTTTGAAACTAAGGAAAAGTCCCCACCCTACAGCAAAGACGGTGGATATTCATGAAACAACATGCACTGGGAAAGAAACTACCATCAATTTACTGTTGATCCCAGGTAATTTTGGGTTTCACCTATAACAACGCTTTTTTATAATTTTAAGAAAAGTGACAGGTGGTGAGTTGATATGCCATCAAGTGGTGAGTTGATATGCATGATAAAAGCTGATACCAGGCTGGTAGGCATGCAAATTAGCGTGAAATATGGGTCTGCAGGTAAGACAAAGTCAATTAGACCAACTCTTCTCATTTTCTTTCCCCACATCATTCCATTAGGTAACCCCCAAAAGCTTTACTTTTTTCTGAATGCTTGAGACGAGGCCTGTTAGTATCACTGATGATAGTTGTCGGACATTCGTCCCCGTCTTGAGTTGAGATGTTAGTTTCACAACGTTTCCGCCAGTAACTTCTCCGGCCATAGTCATATCTGCCTCGTTAGTGGAGTGGTTACAACCGTGGACCATCACCGGGGAAACCCGAGTTCGATTCCCGCTGACTACAGGAGCTTTCGAACTGTTTGACGCGTACGGCGCAACGCCACCAACATCCAGGTCCTCCTGAGGGTCAAAGAACACCTGACGAGTGACGACGGCCGGAGAGTAGCTGGCCGAAACGTTGTGAAACTAACATCTCAACTCAAGACGGGGACGAAGGTCCGACAACTAACATCAGTAACCCCAAAGTTTTTTTTTTCTGTGGACATACCTGTCATGCAAAAGGCACAGCACAACTCCCCGTCAAGTCTCAAGATGGCTTCCTACAAGCTACAAAGGAACACTATAGAACACCTATATACATACAGATTAAAAAACTGTTATAATTATTCTTAATTTCGAAAATGACAGAACTGTCGTTTCTGTATGGCTAACAGCGCGGGAATTCTGATCTCGTGAAACTGATTAGTTTTCCTGCTTGGCAGTTGCCAACCGAGAATGAGTGACAAAATGAAATGGAACAAACAATATAAAGAAATTGACTGGTGTTTTAGCCCTCGCCCGTATTCGTGTTTTGCCAGCGTTTAACGTATAGGGGGGGGGGGGGTCCGTTGGAATCCCATCGTCGTTTGGCCCCTGGTGGAGCTAGAGCTTCGCGGAAAAAAATGAGCGTGTTGCCCACGACGCGAGGAAGCCGATGATAACCAACTTTAAGGTCCTAGGTCATTGGTTAACCTTCCAGGCCAGGTCAATTACCCAGAAGTCGGGAAAATGGGGGGTTATTTGAAGTTCGTAAAGCGAGTTTATTATTTTTTGGCTATTGCTGATCACGAATGTCATGTTAGTTTTGATCACAGATGTCTTCGTACATTTAGGCCAGGTCAGGTCAGGTCAACCAGTAGGTGTCCTGCCGGCTATCCATAGGGAGTGTCAAGTGTCAACTACCACTGACGGTGTCGTAACATGTTACGAAGGCACTAAAACTACTTCATAAATGATCAAATGCATGTTAAATTCGAAATCGGCCCGAAACTACCCTAGAAACATGTAAAACACCAAAAAGTGAACCGAGGTCAACAAAGGTCAATGACCTGACCTGACCTTCACGTGACCTTGACAGTTGACACCCACAATACTGCGTGGGACCAACATCATTTACATGTTTGGACGTTACAATCACAAAAAGACTGGAAATGCGCGGATAATGTGAGCCGACCACGGCAAATCGCGATTCCGGCCAAGCATGGTCTCGAGAATCAGGTCACAAGTCAAAAACCATTTGAGTCAGGGTCATGAAATCTTTAGAACATGTGTAAAATTGATAAACTCGAGAGGTACTGCAAGTTTCGTCGTGATCGGCCGGTTTTTGCGCGAGTTATGTGCGAAAAGCCGAGGTGGTCCGTTCGCCCGCCTATAAGTGCGAGGGTTAATTTTGGCTTTTGATGCCGAATTCTGTTTTATGTCGCTTATTTCACCTTATAGAATTCAGTCCGAATTAGATTCGCTTCACTTCACTTCATTAATATTTTGTTGACTACCAGTCAACAAAAGCTCAGAAGTATATGTATTCTTTCATTTCAATTCATTATCTCTGTCAGAGGCATATCAACCTTGACCCGCAACTGACAATGTGTTTTAATTACAAGAAAATACACTTGTAATTCCAAAATATATTGCCAGTTTTGATACCGTTGGCTTGAGGGCACGTGACTAGCCAAGTTCAGAATGTTCTAAGTAAAAGTAAGTAGCATAAAGCGAAAAAATGATGCTGCTAAAATCAAGCCATTTTGATAGCGCTGTGTTGGACATGATTGCGTTTTCATGAATGTGAGGTCTGCTGCCAAACTACTACCATTTTTCTGATGGTTTCTTTTAGGATGTGTTCTCACATCCTTTTTGTTAAACACTGGCATTTTATCAACTCACCTCAGAGCTTCTTTAGCCGAGAAAATTTGAAAAATCCGAAACCATATCAACTCACCACCCCCCGGGGTGAGTTGATATGAACTTTGGCGTTTTAAAAAAGGGACTTAATATATACATTTTTTATTCATTTTTGCTGATTGCCTCCCCAAGGCATGTGCCATGGAACTGGCACAAAAAGAATTCCGTAAACGAATGTGACTTTTAAAGAAATCTAGAAAAAACCTCAAAATCCATATCAACTCACCCCGGTTTACGGTACTCGCCGCCCGCGGCGGCCCCTGCATAAACTGGGCTAGACTGTACCGCAGCACTCGCCTGCCCCGCGGCGCAGTCTACCTTCCAGGCTAATAGCGCGGGCGCACTCGTGCGTTGCAGTCTCCCGTCGGGAATGTCTTCATGTTCGGGGAATGGGCGTGTGCCGAGAGCATTGTGCACGCTGTGGTCATCAGTGCACGAGCTGGCGATGAATATCGGTGCACAGTGGTCAGAGGGTCGGCGGTGGGCGCGCCTGTGCACCGGGCTCACCCCAGAGGTCGACAGTTCCGGGCCAGTGATCACGGCGTCTCGTGCTGCGCGTGCGGCGAGCATCCGTAATGAGCACTGACCGGTGACCTGCAGTAGCCTGGATACAACCTCAGAAACCACCGAGACTCAGCCGCTGATACAGAGAAAGATGTATTATAGTGAGCTGACGGGAAAATGGGGCTTTCCGGGTGGTATGTATCGGTTGGCTCGTTAGCACTGCTATTGAGGAACCGCAGGGCCAGTCGTCACGGGGCTCGAGCGGAGTAATAACAGGACACGTGCACTGCAATGCACGCGAGGCGGAAATGATAAATGGAAGGCGGTTTTTACGGTTAGTGGGCGATGATCTAGAGATGTGTCTTCAATCACTAATTGTTTTAGCACATCTATTTGCGAATAACCGCGAGGTTGAACGGACAGAAAAGCTCACCATATCAAATATAGTGCGCAGTCAGAAACTGGCCAAATATACTCGTAAGCCACGGCTTTTACCCGTTTGTCGACCCATGGGATTTCATATAGCAATGGCCTGATCGACGTCTTCCAGTGATCAGTCCGTCAATAGTAAGTAATCATCGATTCCCATCAAAATTAATAGCTCAATTAGCCGCCTCAACTTTCATTTACGGGTGCACGCAAAAGTCGCATGTACACACTTCGTTACTTTGGATAAACAAGCATAAATAGATGCCCACCGAGTCTAGCTGTTTATTCCATAGTCAACTCCAGGCAGGGTAAGATATGGCAGTGCTAGGTTACAGAGGAAAGCAATTTATCTACTTAGCCGTATGCGCAAGATGAGTTGTATGGAGTGACACTCGCGTAGTCAGTTGCATAGAAGCTATCGCCTCATTTTTAGCGTGTAATAATATGCAAATATGTGAGAACACAATTTTGAAGTTTTGTGATTTGAGGTTAATTTGTACTTTGAAGTTTTCCGCTGAAAGCAAATTCCTTTGAATGCCACTGAATATTATAACATTACCGCTCCTAGAAGTCAAATCTCTTTTCCTTTCAGGAAGCAGCCATTAGTAGAAGAGCCAAGAAGATAACGTAATCTTTACTAAACAAAGATGTTATTGAAGAAGCCAGTTCAGCTGAATCGCACGCGGTTGTTGCCAATGCTTCTGTTTGAGCTTCTGCTTCTGAACGTCTCCTATGGAACCACATACAATCTCACAGCCATCGACCATGCTGTAAACACCACAGCCCTAACTGAGTCACCGGGTGGGAGTGTGACCCAGTGCGCAGTCCGCTGCCGTCGCCACCGGGCCTGCGTCTCCATCGAGACATCCTCCACCTCCTGCCGTCTGCTAGCTGCCGTCCCCTTCGCCGACCAGCTGACCCTCTCCCCGGGGGTACGGGTGTTCACTGACGTAGCCGCTCCTACACCGGACCACCGCGTACCCCACCAGTGTCCCTCCAACTGGCAGAGAGTCGGCAACGCCTGCTACTTGATCATCCCTTCCGACACCGAGTCTGGCTTCTGGGAGGAGGACAGCAACCTCTGCAAGAGCAAGTTCCACGCCGCCACCCTCCTGACCATCGAGTCTGAGGAGCAACTGACGTACATCAAAGGAGCGGTAAGCGGCCGTGCCTGGACTGACATCAGATACATCAACGGCACCTTCCAGCCGGCCGGAGGGTCGCCGCACACCTTCTGGAAGGAGCTCTGGTGCGACGGAGAGCCTCAGCAGAATGATGATGGTTTCGTGTTCTTCCTTCAGGGCCAGGGAGATTGTCTTCATGCGGAGACATATGCTGTCTCAACTTCTTTCCGCATGCCTCGTACGAATGTCGTTTGTGCCATCTATGCAGGAAACTAGTGGTGGTTTGAGGGACGAATCAATCACAAAATGAGTGTGTAAATCCGTCTCCTTTTTCACGCCATTTCGTCTTCATATGAGTGGTGCGTGAAAAACTACTCACATGTGCAGAATTTCGATAATGCAGGCTACGGTGTGACATTTTGTTAGGATTGTATGTTTTCTTTGCGTGTGAAACAGTGTGAAAGAATGACGTTTATGACTTCACAATACTCATCAATTATGCTCGGTTACGTCTAACATGTAAATGCTACCGTCTGTAATACGAGTATATGTCTTTACAATAAACGTGCTACAAGATCAGAATGAGATTTAACCCTTGCTAACAAATGATGCACAGCAATTGTTTGAACATTCAATAAACGGCTAATCATATTGGACGAAGCTGGTTTGGAAGATGAAAAGAACTAGAACGCTAAATGAGTTGAAAATGAAACTGAACGTTCCGATACAGATATGTCGATAGTGCCGCTTTCGTGGGTTCACTTCATTGATTACCACGATCTTAATCAGTTCACACAACCGGTAGCTGGTCAGAATCCATGACCAAACCGATGAACCGTTTACGATAAGGCATCTTGAATAGGTACACGTGAGTGCAATTAGCCACTATTACGTGTACATAACACTTTCGCTCGATTCGTATTGCATGGCTCATTCACTCCCAACAGACCATGAAGCTAAGGTCAGGCGTGAAATTAGAAGCCGTGCCAAAATCATGATAGGAGCATGTTCGAGATCATCTGAAGCGTGCCATTATCTTTTCGTGCTTGAAGAGAATAAATACAGACTCGAAAGAAGTGTAACAGGTCATGAACGTGAATAGCGATTACTAGCTACCTAGTGGCACAGCGATGAAACAAATACATATATGAATAAGCCTATGACTGTTTTTCTTCTACCATTGTCAGCCAGTGCATAAAACGCCGCTATCGCTGTATAAAATCCACCTCTTATGTGAATCAAAGCTTTCGCGAGTCAAGTTCTCAAGTTTCTCACATTTATCTTTCCCTGAGTACCGTACACGTTCCTCTCACCTGCTCTCAAAGCTCTCTCACCTGTATCTGATGATCTTGCCCCGGCCATGGCCATTGCCGCCTGCGCCAGAGCGTAGGCCACGATAGCAGCCAGTGCAGAGAAGCCGGCCGCCGGTCCAATCAGACCCTCCAGGCAGTCTCCTCCAATCCCTCGTCCGGTGACACCTCGCTGCGTCCACTGACTGCTCCTTCGGGTCTCCAAGACATCCAGGCCCCCGCAGGCCTTCTCTAGAAGCGATTCGAGCACGACATGCTCGGGAAGTCTGTTCTGGATGACGCTCATCATGGGCATCCATACGGAACTACGAGCGGGGGCGGCAGCAGCCTGCTGTTGGAGGTAGTAGTAGAGAGCAAACGCAGCCAGCGCTCCCAGACCCAGAATCATGCTGAGGGTGTCCAGGTCGCTGCAATCGTCCCCGTACCCGTAGCTGTCGGAGCGTTCTATCGGAGCTGCCGCGGGGTCCGTGTGCTGGGCGGCTGGCTGGAGGTCGTGGGCGGGCTGGAGTGGGTCTCGGCGGCCCTCGCGGAGTGCTGAAGCGGTACGTAGCTCACGCAGGTAGGCATCGTAAGCACGCTGTAGTCGCTGGCTGGAATAGTCGAGTCTGGAGGCTGGAGACCGCGGCGGAGGCACAGTGTAGGTCTGGGTGGACGGGCTGCGGCTGCCGTAGATGTTGCCGTAGTCGAGGCTGCTCGTGTCGTAGCTGGAGCGGCTCGGGTAGTAGCCCGTGTTGGAGTTGGAGTTGTAGTTGGAGCTGCCGCCGTAATCCGAGCGATGATAGAGCTGTCCGGCGCTGGCGGTGATCACCGCTGCCAATATCACTCCCCCGATGATAGTTCCTGCCATGGTGATCGGTCCCCACTCGACACTCAATACCGTGTTCTGTCTGCCTCGAGCTGAGCTCAACTGCGCTAGCTCCGCCGCAGCTGCCACCTGCCGGCCGTACGGCCAACAACACACCGGGTAACATGTATACCAACATGACCTATATCGGTACCGCTAGATCCCTGCACGGCCCGGCGAGATGTGGGCCAGGAAGTGTTTGAACATAGCGGCAGTGGCCGGCGGCTTGTCGTTCACACTTCACGGTTGGCCGGTCAGCCGTGTGCAGCGTGCAGTGACCGCAGGGGTCGCGAGCCTGTCCGCGCAGGGGCCCGCTATAGGGGCGGTCAGCAGCCGTGGGACGGTAGACACCCGTCCACTACCGCAGCTCCCACGCGCTCACTGGGCGTCACTCGGGTGTGGAATATGACGGCGGTAAATGATAACTCAGGTGCGCAATACGGCGTTGTTTGACTCGTCTTGCATAGATAGATGGGCATCAGTGCGTAATGACAGTCCATTACGATACGTTTGGCCTTTGGTTTGCATAAATACCGGATATTTCGGTAAGCTATACGACAGGTGTACGCTGTAAAGCCATTCGCGGTTAGCAGACCATCTATCACGCTTGACAAGCGCGAACACACGTGCCACCTAAACACCGTTGGTCGCTGACAGGCTGGTCAGACGGTCCAAGCGGTAACCAATAACGTCTGAAGGTTTCCCGCTGTGGTCACGACAGATTGACCACAGCCTTTCCAGCTGTGACCGGTGAAGCCTTCGTCTGGCAGAGTAACGGACCCAAAGAGACTGTCGGCCTGTGTGCTACCTCCTCTATTGCAATCAAGGTCCCGTGACGCGCCACACAGTCGAATGCTAGCCAGAGACACAACAGAAGTAGCAGGGGACAGGGGTGGGTTGCTTGTCGTTGGCTTGATCGGGGTTTTCAGACACAGGACTTGAGTGGACGTGCATAAAACAGGAGACGAACTGTTTAACTCGACCTGATGCTGTTTGACACTTCGATCGGGATCTTGAATCCCATATTTTTATTATTAACCCTCGCATGTGTGCGGCGTTTTCCAGCTTCTAATGTGTAGGGGGGGGGGGTCGGTTGGACCCCCCCCTTGCCGTTTGGCCCCTGATCGAGCTAGAGCTTCGCGGAAAAAACGAGCGTGTTGCCCGTGACGAGAGGAAGCCGATGATACCCAATTTTAAGGTCCTAGGTCATTGGTTGACCTTCCAGGTCAGGTCAATGACCCAAAGTCGGGAAAATCGGGACCTATTAGAAAGTCGTAAAGTGTGGCTGCTAAGGGGTTTTTCGGGGTGCTGATCACGAATATCGTGTTAGTTTTGATCACAGATGATGTCTTTAAGCATTTAGACCAGGTCGGGTCAGGTCAGGTCAGGTCAATCAGTAGGCGTCGTGACGGGTATTCGTAGTACGTGTCAACCGCTTCTGACAGCTTCGTAACATGTTACGAAGGCACCAAAACTACTTCGTAAATGTTCAAATGGTTGCTAAATTCGAATTCAGCTCCAAAAACTAGCCTAGAAACATGTAAAACTCGAAAAAGTGAACCGAGGTCACCCGAGGTCACCAAAGGTCAATGACCTGACCTGACCTTCAGGTGACCTTGACACCCACCATAATGCATGGGAGCAACATCAAATCACATGTTTGAACGTTTGAAACCACGAAAAGCTTGCAAACGCGCGGCTAATGCGAGCCGACGTACGCCGAATCGCGATTCTGGCCAAACATGGTCTCGGAAAAGAGGTCACAGGTCAAAGGTCATTTGGGTCAGGGTCATGAAATTTTCAGGGTAGGTGTCAAATTGATCAATGCGAGGGTACTGAAAGTTTCGTCGCGATCGGCCGCTTTTTACGCGAGTTATTCGCGAAAAACCATGGGGGGGGGGTCCATCCGACCCCCCCCTACACATGCGAGGGTTAATGGCACATGCAATGCAAGACAAACATGGACGTCTGTGTGCAGGCTGTTACGGATATGTTTTCCATTGCGATGGCTTATTGAAACTGGCGCACGGAAGGCACTTTAGAGGGCATTGACTTATTTATAATTTGAGGACCTTTTAATGCCAATCAAAAAGACTTGCATTAACCCTCGCCCGCACATGGGGGGGGGTGGCAACCACCCCCCCCCCCAGGCAGTCTTTCTGCTCTGCACTCAACATTTTTAGAGCTAGAAAGCTGATTTTTCGTATAGCTGCTCGTCTATCCTTTGTTGATGTCCACTGAAAATTTCAAGTTTCTGTGATTTTTGGTTTCGGAGATATGACCTTGTTTTTCAGGTCATGTCATGACCCAAATGGCCAATTCTCAACATCTTGCGTTTGCCATGGGCCTTGCGAGCTTTTGACACCCTGATTTCGGCCTTTTTTTGCCAGTCTCACCTCCCACCTATCATGGAACATGTTGTTCGACGATGTACAGGGGTCAAGGTCAGGGTCAAGGTCAACCTAGGTCATCTAAGATAATTGCGTTTTAGGCAAGCTGAATTTACTTTTTGTGAAGTTTTTTGACTGCATTTTTGGTAAAAGCTTCTCAGATCATGATTTCATGTGATACACTGTAAAAAATATTGACTAGCCCCTCGTCAAATGATTCTCAACGCTAAATGTCGGGGGTACAGACTAGTTTTGCATCCTACTTTTGACACACGCTGCGAGCCCCTGGCTTGTTTTGTGTTCGTCAGATGACAGTTACCAGGTGTCGGTTAGTTTTTACCACGTCCCAAAAATAGCTGGAGCGTTTCTGCCTTGTTTTGGAAGCAGGTCCTCGTTAATGCTGTGTATGATAACAAAGTACCTAGTAACAATAATAACGAAAAACAATGTCAAAACGAGGGTGGCTTGTTTAGTGACGATGCTCAAAAGAGGCATCGTCTTGTTCCTACTTAACGAATGAAGCTCAAACTAGGTCAAAACTAACGTATTGCTCAACCCATAGTCAGATGACCAGCAGATCCTACGCCGCCCAATCCAGTCATCGAATTTGCCAGCGAATTCGTTTGAAGACCATCATATTATTAAATATCGGTGGTCTTCAAACGAAATCCCTTACCAGTTTGATGACGAATTCATCCGGCCCATTCCAAAAACGCTCAAGATAAAATGAAAGTGTATTTCTGAAATAATGTGCTTTCTTGCAATGCACCTTTCGTATATCAAGCGAACCTTTCACTTCCAGCGCCCGTTTACAGTTATCAATCGAATCAGAAGCATGCACATACCTATCGATACATCTGAACCTAAGAACACAGAAGACATTTTGTAGAGTACCTGTCTGAGCCTATGCAGTGGAGCCCGTGAGCCGCCCAACCGCAGCTGCCTCATGAACTTGATGATAGGTCTGAACCTCAGATTGGCCAGAGCTTGGCCGTCAATAACCAGCTTATTTATATCCACAGTTGTAGTGACTTAGGGTTTGGAATTTGCCAAACCTAAGTTTTGATTACCAAGAGAAGTTTTGCTTCTTGCACTTGCCTTTTCTTCATAACTTTGGCGGAAATCGTCGTAGTGAAACTTCAGTGTTCCGTTAGCTGTCGGTTCTTGAGAGAGTTGGCCAGGCCGGACACCGCGGGGGCGGCTCCACAACTTTCGAAAAATTAAACCTAAGTCCTATTGCACTGCATGGAGAGCAATTCATTTAAAATCGCTCTTGTTCCCCCCCCCCCCCCTCGACAACTTTGCAAACGTCTCTGCGCAATTTGGTTGAGAATAATGGCTTATGGCAAGTTATTGAACCAGAACGTCGATCACTGCAGGTCATATATCGGCAAGCAATTCTTCATAACTAGACACTGCTCAAATGGAAACGATACAGGTTTGCCCAGTGATAAACACTCGCACTGCACAGACGCGCACACCCCCGACCGAACGCGGCACGGCACAGCGCAACTGGCGCCGGGAAGCCGGGAACGCATTAAGTGAAGGATTCACAGGTGC